AAGAAGTGTTGAAAAAAGGAACAATGAAGCTGTCTTAGTGTTCTGGAACTTACCACTTTCTTCACGCTCTTCACCCAGAGTGGAGTTTTAAAAGAATCTAACCGAGACTTTCAGTGGGAATTCAATATCTGATTCCCATATGTGATTGTGAACAGCCCATTCCCAACATCCTTTCTTTCTGCCATACTTTGTTATGAACCACAAAGTGAGTGCTAGTCACACCACAACCAAGGATCAACTAGATTAGGGTCCCAAATACCAGAGGCACAACAAATGGCACAGAAAGAAAGAGGTGTTAACAAAACACATATGGCTAACTCTGTCCTCCGATAGTCTTGGTTTGTGTGAAACTCCAAGTCAGTAGTTATTTTGTCTGACTGAAGTGGGTTACCTAGGGAGGTGGTGGAATCTCCATCCCTAGAGGTTTTTAAGTCTCAGCTTGACAAAGCCCTGGTTGGGATGATTTAGTTGGGATTGGTCCTGCCTTGGGCAGGGGGCTGGACTTGATGACCTCCTAAAGTCTCTTCCAGCTCTATGATTCTAAGGATGACAGGGGAGGGGGGCTGATCCTTTGGTCTTACTGGCTCAAAAACTTCTTTGGGTGTTAAACATGCAGATAGCCTGTAGGATTGGATCCTCTGTAAAGACTCCAGAATAAAGATGGGAAGAGAAGCAGAATGAAAGAATGACATGGATGAAATAAGATTGAAATTAGTAGTAAGGGAGATAAGGGCTGAGTGGAAAACAAGATAAGCAGGGAGAAGGTCTGAAAGGAAAACTGGTGCTGAATGTTAGCAATGAAATCTAAAACTGTGCACATATTGGGCATCATTATATTCTTGAAATTCAACCCTTCACATTTGTCATTGTGGTTTGTGAACCTTTCAAGCAAATCAGGAGCTCCCTCACGGTTCCACTCCAAACACAGGTGAAACTTGGCGGTTCTGAATAAGTTTTGTACTGAGTTTTCAAATTTGCTTAAATATGAGATTCAAAACAAACTTTAGGGATGGGGATGTGCCAACACAAACTGGAACCTTGGAGAAAACGTGTGCTTGCGCCCCTGTGAAGTGTAACTGCCAAGTAGTGCATAGTCTGTCTATTTACACAGATCCAGCTTGCCATTAACCATCGTTATTACAAAACATGTACATTAAACTGTTCCTGAAAGTATACTTTGTGAAATGCATTATTATAGTGTCATCTAAAATGCACTGAGAGAATGCTTAATTGTGTTGGTAGGCACTCATTCCAGTCTGTCTCCTATATTGATTAGTGGTTTTGAATATTATTGTGATGCGTTTCCTAGCATGCATTCAGACCTGCTCAGTAATGTTAATTACTTGTGAAATAACAATGACACTCTGTATCATTTTTATTCACCTGTGGCTTTGTTTGATTTTGTTGATGAAGCAAATATTCATTTTTCTTCATTGATTGTACTGAAAATCCAGTGTTCCTATGAGTAGACACATTGGCTTCAGCATGGGCAGGATTGGAGACACTGATATCCATGGGGATACTTGCATGTCTTCATGATTTAGCTCATCATCTGGATGCTGGTTTCAGATATGTTTCCATCCCCCGCAGCCCTGTTACTCTAGTGATGGGTTCAATCACAAAAGATTTTAAAAATCCTAGTGTTTTAGTAGAGTTCAGATGCAATGATGTGGTTTGGCCACTTATAAAAGCAAGGGTCATTTGTAAAAGTCAAGTTTAACTGTTGAATGGTTAGATCTGAGTTTTTCTTTGGGCCCATTCTGAATTAAACCATTGAGTTTACCCCTTTCTCAGAGCAGGATATGGCCTCCAGAGAAGATATTTCAGGCATAAAATTGCTACTTGGGGTTTGATGGTAGCTTAATGACTAAGAATAAATCATATCCTTGGTTTCGGTTTGGGGTGTTTTTATAATTAATTTTGGGTCACTAAAGTAATACCCACTGGTGTCCAAATGAGTGAGTAGGTGGAGTTTCTGCCTTTGGATGGATACACTTTTATTTACCTGCTGTTTTTTTTTTGATACAAAGAAAGTAGGGGGGAGCATGGTAGGTCTTTTTCCTCCCTTCAACTCTATTTTAGCTTAGAGCCAATTCTTCCTGTCTTCTGCTCTGAGCAGGGTTAGGTTACATGACAGGAAAAACTTTGGTGCCTCTTCTGCACTAAGGCTCCTGCTGTTTATCAGCGCACCTGCAATCATATCAGTAAACCTGCAAGACCAGGAAGGAATTCTATTGTGTGACAGTCTGCTGCTTGATTCTCCCTATCTTACCTACCCAAAATAGGTGGATAGTTGGGCCATGGAGACAAGGGATCAGAATCTATCCTCATTTATAGCTGGGTTTTCCCAGATGGAACACGGGACAGAATTTAGCCCTGTTAGGTTTCACTCTGTCATATAGACGTGGAGAATACTGATTAACTTTGCAGCAAATACTCTCACTCTTGATAAATAATTAACAATTCCCCCGTCTCTTTTCCTTTTGTTTCTTTGCAGTACAGACACAGCCTCTCTCTGTCCCCTGCCCCAATGAACATCTGCACTAGGGCCAAAGCTTGGAGTGATTTACCAGAAGAGTGACACCATTTGGAAACCACTGTAAGTAAATTTTATGTCCTATGAAAAACTTCTTGATTCAGCAAAAAAGGAAACAGAAAACAAACAAAACCCCCACCCCAAAACCTTTAACACCTGGCCACTGCTGGTCAACAAAAGTTAAATTTGACTTTACGCATTTACCTGGGAAATAAGTGGGTGTAAAAAATCAGTAAAAAGTTGGTAAGTATAGTTCAGCAGAGCTTTGACCTCCTTACATCCTTTAGCTGTGTCTTACTCTACTAGGATATCCCTGACTATTATTTTAAATTCAAGTCTTGATGTCTCTGTGGCATTTTGCCCTATATTTTTAGCAGATTTCTTTGTCTTTTGTAGAGTTACTAGTTTGATTCAATCAATGTATATTCCTTCTTGTTGCAGTTTGATTTCCCTGCAACTCGTTAAAGTTTTGAACTGCTTTTGTAAAGTCTCAGTTGTTCTTGTAGCTCTGTACTTTTCAAGTTGGGTCTCTCTGTCACTGAAGTTTTGCAGAAGCTTGGTTGAATCCCCATGCTTCTCACTGACGTTCTCAGTGGGTTTTCTGTCTTTTGTAGTTTCACGGTGTTCTGAAATGATCTCTTACTCTCTGCCTTAGATTGTGTAATCTTCCAGTTTTAAAATGTAATGGTCAGATCTCTGTTCTCCTTAATATAAGGTTTGGCTTGGTTTTGTTTTTTTAAGCAAAAAACCTTCTCTGGTGAAATTAACTGTAGCTTCCTGCTTTCATGGACAGGTTTTTGTGCCTCCCATTATAGCTTTATCCTGCTCGGTTGGATCCCAGTGCTAAAATTTCAAGCGGTTACACGTTTACACAAAAAAAGTTAACATCCTTAGTACGTGCCCTATCCTGAACCCCGCTGAATATCACCAGAACCTTTAAATTGTGTGTGTCTCTCTCCCCCCCCACACACACACACAAAATCCACAGTTAGATGCCATATCTGCTTGACCTCTTGTACTCAGGGAATGCAAATGGCCTCATTGTGACTGCCTCCTTTACAGATGCATTAGGGAAGGCAGAGCTTATTCTAACCTTTTTGTCACCTGTCTTTCCCAGTGTATTGACACGGGGCAGTCATAATTTGACCAGTAAGTAATTCAGCTTTGTTTTTATCACTGAAAAGCTTTCCTCTAACCAATGTGACAGGCACCTTCTCTGTATTTTCTCTGCAGCCATAGGACCCCATGCCTGACCATGAACAATTTCCTTTTTTAGAGGCTGGAGAGTTCAGCCACCACCTTTACCAACGCAGAGCCTCCCTGTGCTAATAGATGTTGATCTAAAGGGCTCTGTGCATATTACCTTTGGGCTCACCTATCCTTTGCTCAGATTAGCTCTTTGATCTGTGCTCTGAGATGGGGCTTGAGAAAGTAACTAGAAACTCTTAAAAAAACCACTCAGTTGCCCAGTCTCATCCACTAATCCCAGATCACACCTGACTAAAGAGTAACCAAGAGAAATTGAATCTTTTTAATAACCTGCATCAATTGAAATTGGCTTGGCATGCTTCTAAAAGCGGAGAACCTCAGACATAGAGCATTTGGGTCCATTTTCAGAACTGGGACATTGGCCGATGTCTGTTTCAAAAGGGCCCTCAAATGTTTGCTAGCTGACATGGGAGAAATGCGAGCTGCTGAGCAAACTACATTGCCTATCTTTGAAAGAGACCAGACTGAGAGGTTGGCTTGTTGTGACATGTTAATACATCTGGGGGAAATTAATCCTGAACACAGATAATTGTTGTGAGGGAGAAACCTGGGGAGACATAATGTTTGAAAGAGACTGAGGAGGATTGCTGGACAGCAAATTGTGTATGAGTTGAATTGTAATGTCGTAGCAAGAAAAATAAGTGCAATTTTGGGTTTCAGAGACATTCTGAAGCAAGGAGATAGGCCTCTCTTTCTCGAGCTGTGCGCCACACCCGATCAGTTCTGATCTGATCTGCTTTTAAAACAAACAAAAATTCGTGCTGCTTTACATTCTGTGCCTAAAATCATGTTGTAGCTGCATTATTGTGAGATGTCAGTTTTCTACACCTTTATGACAGAATACTGCAGTGCTTATATACATAAAAGGGGGAGGAGGAGATACTTAGTTACCAAAAAGATATTGTCACTTTGGAGGGCTCAGAGGCTGGAGGAATTGGTTTACAAGAAAAGTTTGAAGGATCTATTAAATAAGTGCAGTTTGGTTAAACGATGACTAATGCATGGTGTGGACTTATACCACTCTGTGGATATATGAAGAGTATATAGCGAAGAAAGAAGGGGAAGTATTTTAAGTGGTAAATATCATGAAACACTTCCTAAGAGATGTATCTTGCTGAGGACGAATCTTCCAAAAGAATCGTGTTAAAGCCTCGCTACAAGGGCCATTTAAAACAAGACTGGATGAAACCATGCTAAATAAATACTAAGATACAATCCTGCACTGACTAAGATAAATAAGTTGTATCTAACTTCTAGGATTCTATACATCAGGGCCATCTCTCATAGTGTCCTTTTCCCCATTGTCTGTCCCCCTTTTCCTCATGGTCCACTGTTTTTGTTTATTTTGAGGGGTAAAAATGATAATGGTGCCTTGAGTGTTTTCATACTCCGCTTGAATGACTAATATAATAAATGAATGAGCTAATATAATACACCATGACCACATACAAAGAAAGAGCATGGTCTTCCATGGGAATCAAACCTGATACCATGAACATCTGGGGCCTTATGAAACTGAGTAACTCTAGTAACTAGCAGTAAATAGCTGGCTGTTATAGTATGCAGGGGCCTATTACTACAGGTTGCACCTCTATAAACTGGGACTCTCTGGTCCGGCAACATCTGTGGTCCAGCCACATCTGTGGTCCAGCAGGTGGTGGGGGTTGGGAGCATGGCCCAGTGCAGGGAGAGGGGCTTGGAGTCAGCACGCGATGGGATGGGGAGGAGAGCTGGAAAGGCCATTGCGCAGCCCAGCTGCCTCTGTACATGATTCTGGGTGCTTATGGCGCCAGAGAAGTTGTAATTATTTAGCAACATTGACTCAGGCTCTCTCTTCATTGTAGAGTTAACGTACGTTATCTACACTTGAATTAACTCCTCTCAAGTTAGCCTAGTCCATGTTGAGAGCAACCACACTGCAGACTGATCCTAGAACTTCACACAATGGCTGGATTAGCAGCACAGAGTGCTAGTGGTGTCAGCTGGCAAATTGTGCTAATAAGAGGGGTTGCCTAGGCTCTATCACAGGTCAGCTAACTCAAGTGAAAAGTGTCACCCAGCTCAAGCGCAGGGTTTGTGTGTGATGATGGGACATGAGTTAGTAGCCACACTAGAGTTACTTGACTTTCAGTGAAGACTAACCCTTATAATATATTGTAAATATGTTACCAAGGACAAGGATGTCTGCATATGTCCAGCCTCTCCAACCACTCTGGTCCTAGATCCACTGTTGGCTGAACAAGAACTTGCATTGCCTGAAAGCTTCACAACTTAATAGTGCTGCAAAAAGGGGTGGGGATGTACACATGTGCGGAGGGAGGAAGCTACTGAGGATGAGAGCTTTGGTGGATATTTCTCTACTGGCCATAGGAAATGCAACAAGAGTTAGTCTGCGTGGTTGTTTGAAGTGTTCTCATGTACTTTCCTTACTCACGTTTCTAAAATATATTGCCATGTGGCAATCGGCTCTGGCTGGAGGTAGATTTTAGCAGCAGAACTGGAATCCAGATTTCTTCAAGCATGCTGAGATCTGGGGGGCTGATATGCTCAATTTCTTTTTCAGGCTTTTCTCTGAAGTACACTTACAATATTTCAAAACTGGCTGATTTTCATGCAGTTTGCAGTGATACAGTTCTAGCCTGTTATTCCAATAAAAAATGTAAGTAGCTCAACTGAAGCTAACAGAGTTACTTCCGTTTTACTCTGGTGTGAGTTCAGAATTTAGCCCATTATATTTTCAATGTATTTTTAATACATGTTCCCTTCCATACAGTGTATGGGAATATGGTTCTCCACTGTACTGATTTTGGGAAGGGCAGCTCCCCCAACATAAAGCACACTATAGCTGTCAGCACCACTGGGGTTAACAGCAAGTGTAAGTCAGCCTCGAGTCACCTAAAAACTTGTATCTGAAACCCTGAAGCAGCCTCTGGAATCAGAAACTTGAGCAGCAGGAAGGCCAAAATGTTTTTGTGCTTTTCATCCAATTTGGGAAGTCCAATAAGAACTGACCAGCATAAGACAGATGGCTGCAGCCACGTAGTTTTGACAACTGACCCCGAACATGAGGAAACCCGTGGTTCTTGGCCCAGATTCAGCATGCCTCTGTGCGTATGTGCATGCACCCAGTTTTGCTTTGTGTTTATGTAGCATTTGCCTTTCCTTTATTTCTTCTTCTTTTTCGCATTTTCCTTCCCCCCTTTTTTTTCTCTATTGTGTTACTTTGTGTCTGGGTGCTCAATTGGGTTTTGTTGGGGGAGGGAGTAGTGGGGGAGGGCGGACCTATTTAACTTTTTAGTTGAGCCTTCATTTTCTGGCTGAGGAGACACTTCATTGGAGTGTATAATTTTAACACTTACGGCAAAGCCTTTTTTTTTTTTTTTTTTTTTTTTTTTTTTTTTTTTTTTTTTTTTTTAAAGAGAGCTTGGCAGACTAACCTCTGGCATGGTGATCAGGAGGAAGATTCTAGGGAGGTTTTGTCTCACTGCAGAATAGCCTGAAGCCAGGCAGTGCTCTGCTGCCCTCTGAGGGTGACCAGCTAGAACTGGCAGCCACCAAGGTTTAACAAGAACTTCCACATGCTATGCCCTCAGAAATGCCACGCTTATATAATTCTTTTATATAACTGGAGACAATGTTCTTGATTAATGGCAAAGTGGCTTTGCTCTCTGTTGCGTGATAGATGCTCTTTCCTTCTTGTGTGTATGTCTCTTCCTTGTCTTTTATTCTTTTTTTCATTTCTGGTGCTTGGACTCTAGAAAAGGTTTTGTAAAATCTGTTTGTTTTTTAAGGATAGGCAAGCAGCAGGACTGTTTCTCAAAGGTAGGATTTTGCTGTCTTAATGAACTTGTGTCTTTTCAGGACACATGAAGTGGGGATTTTGGTGGAGTAGAATATAGGAGGAATCTGGTTGTGTTATTTATTTGCATTTACCAGGGAAACAGGCTTCTGACTTAGCATCCATTCCAGCCATTTCAGGAATTATGGCAATGGTTAGTTTGGTGCTCTGTTTGTAGTCTAGTGCTCTCTCTCCTTGCTGTGAAGTGGGGAAACTGGATAAAACAATAGGAGAACCTGCAGAGCTTCTGTTACACAAATTAAGGGCTGAAAACTAATGCATAACCGTTGTAGAGAAAACGTTGTAGGACGGTTTCTTTCTTCAACAGTTATTTGTGTTTGAAGTTCGCATCATTCTAGGCCAAATAAAAAAGCATTTGAAATCCAGTTTCATTGAGTTATACCTATGAACAGCTGTACGTGACACGTCCTGCCATTATGGCAGGGG